ATTATGGCTTTAAACCAACTGTGCTGTCTAATTGTTTCTTTATCTTTCTCACACCCCAGTCTCTCTGATCTGAGACTTGCTAGCAATTTGATAGCCATGGCAAGATGTGGAGAGGTCTGGAAGGTTAGTTCCAGTAGCCTTTATTTAACACCAGTGTCTTCTGGCAGAAGGATAAACCACAGACAGAGCTGATTACAAGTTCCTGTGGCCCAGGTTTCTGGCTACAAAACTGGGAAGGATAAACACCTTCTTAAACACTGCAAGACAGAACAACAGAAAGGAATGGAAATCTGCTCATAATGCAATGGCTAGAAGCGATCCAGCTGGTTTGTTTTATTCCCACCATGAGAACTATGGTCAGTCCCAGTGCAAGCTTGGCCACCTGTCAGATCCAGTTTGTGAACTCAGGCTGATAGGAATTTGACACGCTCTTGTCTTGGAGCACGCTGGTATGATCAATGCAAATTCCTCCTACAGCAGTGACACAATGTGTACGCTACCCATGCAGTTACAGATGCCCCTCATAAATCATTAAAATACCGGCTAGTTCTAATCAGATCCTTTGAGTTATAACGTAATACACTATTTGAGAACTAAATCCAGTAAATCGAGTTAGCACAGAGGTCAGAGTGAGACTGAACACAGCTGAAATTTGCTTGCTTATGTGTGTATAGTCTAAGAGATGCAAGGGAAGGAAATGAAATCCCAAATCAGCTAAGCAAATTGCTTTCTTCTTATTGTAAAATCTTGCTACTAAGTCTGTGGAGGGGAAAAAAGTAGAAATTCATCATATTCTGTAGCAGAGCTGATTTGAGGTCTAGAATTTCCCAGCAATTGTGTTAGCTTTTGGGATTACAGGTATTTCTGATCATTTGTCCTCCAGGTTAACTCTTACCATTTCTGTAAAACAAACAAGCAGTTAAAAATATGTCCCCCAAATCTCATCGATCACCTACTACAAAAACAGAACATATTTTTTTCTATAGCATAGAAAACAGGTAACTTCTAATAATAATAAAAAAATCAAATCCTATTAGAAGGCAGATGTTGTGGTTGCACTCTTCAGTGCAACCTGGGGCACAACAGGAAGCTTTGTGAAAGGGAGGCTGCAGTGCCCAAGTGTTGGGAACCCATAAGTTTACGTGCTGGGGTGCTACTACATAGATCCAAATAATCAATGCTTTCTTTTCTGTATGGAAAAGGTTGAGGGCCATCTAAATTTTTTGAGTGTTATCTGACTTGGAGGACAACATGGTATGGGGTATGGCCAACCTCCACAGCGAACAAGTAGTTTGGCTGCTATAAATGGTATCTGTCAGAGAATAATACTGAAGGCTAACTTCCCCGTTTATGCTATATTTGCATGTACATTTTGTTTCTTATGTTATACTTAAAAGTGACAGTAATTGTTTCTTCCCTCATGGCAGAGACAGTCTGGAGCAGAGGATCCTGCTCTGCTTAGGCTGTGTCATTCTCAGTACTGCTGAGTACTTCCTCATGTGTACTTTTCCCTTAAACCTCTCTATCCTAAACTGGACAGAGTGTTTTTAAAGGCCATAGAGCAGAGTAACTTGGCATCTGAGTTATACCTATGGAGCCATATTTCTCTAATGGTCTGCAGAGAAGGCTCTCAGAGGCCCAGTTGTGGTAGCATCCCTTCAATCACGAACATTATCAGAACAGGACTTTGCTCTAATCCTGTGAAAGCTTGTTATTCTGGGCACAGGCTTAGCTTTTGGGAGCTGCAAGTCATATGAACTCTTGGGGTTCATGCTGGCAACTCCTGAGCTGAAACATCTGGTGATGCAAACCACTAATGGTGATGCAAACCAGTGATCCAGAAAGTCACCATAAACCAGTGAACAAAGTCTCCATGAGTCACTGGCAGTATATAAAAGAACTAGCAAAAACCAAGGCAGTAAGTAACAGGTGGGGAAGAGAATGAAACTTGGCCTATTTGAATTATGCACCAACAGCTTCAAACTTGGGTGCATGTATGGAGCATGGATTAATATTAAGATGGATTAATATTGTGTTTTATTTCTAATTAAACCTCAAGCACGTCTGAATTTCTCTCAAACCTGGTGGCGAAATAGTTGAAACATAGAAGGAGAAACAATGATCAGTTTCATTAGAAGTGCAGCACAGCTTGGTGTGGGAACTTAATGAAGATTTGTTGGTCAACAACAATCTCCCAACTCACTTTAACATGCTCTCCATTTAATTTGTTCTGCTATTGTAGATGTGAATCCCTGAAGTCAGACTCAGTTTTCACGGCTCTTGTAGTCCCTGCAGTGTCAGCAGGAAGCACAAACCAAAGATTTAGAGGACTTGAGCAATGTATATTTCTCTTAACGAAATCCAAACCCAGGTGACATTTTTGGGAGAGAGGGAACAGGAAATGGAGTCCCTTTAGGGGGCAGGGGCTTTTCACAACACTCAGAAACTTGGCCCACATTTCTGGTCTCCTCCCTTTCTTCTCCACAAAGGGCTTGTAGCATTTTTAGATGAACTTGGATCCAGTGTATGTTGCTGAGAGAACCTGCTGGGAAATTAGGTGACTCCTGCACTCCAGGGCAGAGGAAATGTGTGTTTCTGCTTTGTGTTTTTAGGAAAGTAGGAAGATGAAATTCAAAATAAAACACAACAGATGGGAATCTCACAGAGACAGACACTGGGAAATGTTTAGACAAGCTTTGTTCCCAGTTCTTGAGCTCAGAATTTAGCCACTAAGCTGCAGAGAGACTTCAGAAAGACAATGAAATGCATTTTGGCTTCAAATACAGTTCCTCCAGATTCCAATGAGAGTTGTGCACATGAATCTGAAGGCAGAGTATAGCCAGCAGTATGGGGAATAGATGTAATATGAGAAACTCTTATGCTATATTATTATAGTCTGAATTGTTTCCATCACTTTGGGTTAAGTAATTCCCCACTATCCATCTCTGAAGCGCAAACAGTACAGCCTTGATGTGCCCAAGGGAAAGGAAGCAAACCAGCCTTTGAATCTTTACCCAACCTTACTGCTCATATTTTGCTTTCAGTGAGTAAGTGTTCAAATCCTTTAATACTTCATTCCCATAAAAATATATTTACCAGGGTTTTTTGTGGCAGCAGTGAGGCTGTGTTTATTATTTTAGGAACACCACACGACTGGCTTTAAAGAAAATACAAGGCAGGAGCATGGAGTGCTGCAAATCTATCAGAGAACAGCAAGTTTTCCACCTGTTGAGGCAGCAACCACAATAACAGATGCACATAATAATTACCTATACCTCAAAGGCAGTACCTAGTCCTGCACCTTCTGCTCCCCACCTAGCAGACAGCTTGGTAACAGAATTACAAAAGAGGAGCATTGAGACAGAGTATGTAGTGCTTTGTGAAGAATAAAAAAGCAGCTCTTATTAAAAAGAAACTGGAAGGTGGAAGATGAGAAGGAAAGATCTGAGGCACCATGATGCTAAAAGAAGAGTGGAGCTAAGGAACTCCAAGAGTGTGTCTTTTTTTAAGAGTGACAATCAGGTTTTTGCTAATACCCTTTCCAAAGCTGCTTTCATTTGTACTCTCAACATTAGAGCTAATTTCTCTGAAAAACAGGTGCCCCACACACCTACTGGAGCCCATTCCTTCCCAGAGATGATTGATTCTGCAGTGGCAAGAGGGGCATACAGGATAAGGGCCTCATCTCAAGTTACACCATGAATGACCATGACTGTGTGCCAGTACCATGTTCCTATTCATCTCTTTGCTTCTTGGCACTTGTGTTTCTTGGCTTCTTGTGCTGGAGCTACATTTTGCCCCATTCGTCCCCCAGAGCACCTGGTGTAAGAAGGGCAGGGGACAGTAGGGGGAGAAAGGATGCATGGCAGGCAAAATGTTCTGGTCTTTCCTGCTTAAGTGCTGAGGCTTGTAAGGGTCTCATTCTCCTCTTCCTCCGACTACTAAAAGGAAAGTGGTGACATCTGGCTGGGTAAGGAGGACTTGGCCTCTGGAGTGATTTGTACCATAGTAGTTCCTTGTTGCACAAAGGAACAGATCCTCCCTAGAAAGGATTTGTAGGGGAAATTATCTCAGATCCCATTTAATCTTGACAGAAGAAGATGAGAAGACTGTGTGCTGAGTTAGAGTTTTCCTTTGAATTCCTATGGTGTTGAAGGCAGCACTATAAATAGCCACACTATCCTTTTTACCCTGGTACAATTCTGTCTCCGGCTCCCCATACAGACAGCAAGTCTGCTGGTAGGTATTTAGCAGGAATTAATTTAACCCAGTCTTCTCCTTCTGTAGTCTTTTACTCCAATCATCACAATGGCTTCCACAGGCATACAAAAATGTTTCCTCAATAAAAATTTTCTGAGGAAGACTGTTGATATTAAAAATCTTTCTGTCTGAAAATTTGATCCTAGTTATAAATAAATATCCATAAATATCCCAAACTATAAAGAGTTAGTATGAAAAACAAACAAACAACAACAACCCCCCCCCACCCCCCACACACCCCGCACCCCCAAACTTCTTAAGCTTTCATTTTGTTTCTCCCAGGTTTTGGTTTTGAATTGCACAGCATTTTATTCATAGTCTGTTTCACATTTTCTCCAGTGTAACTGGCTGGACAATCTCTCCTTTCCCAGGATCGACTTGCGAACATAACTGAGAGGAAGGAAACTCACATCCAGTGTTTCATGGCTATTATCTTACAGATAGATTTGTAAGAAATTTAAATACAAGGATAATGGATTGGTATTTAAATACAATGGGCTTGGGTTTTTAGCATCTTTTTCAGGGAGAGATTGTCAGCCTGTAAGTCCAGCTGGAAAGCAAACTCGAATTTCACAAACACTGGAGTTCTGAGTGCAAGGGCCCGGCCGTGCCGGGGCTCGCTGCTGGCGGGGCTGGCTGTGGGGGGCTGGCTGTGGGGGGCTGGCTGTGGGGGGCTCGCACTGCCCGCTGCAGGCGCTGACAGCGCCGGGGTGTTTGTAAACAAGCTTAAAGGTACTTGCCTGGTAGTCGAAGCTCCCGCGCTGAGGAGTCTTGGATTACCTTTGTCTGAATAATACCACTCACCTTCCTCCTAACGTGCCACCTGCACAACAATTTCTAGCCTCTCCGGGTGTTCAGTTTATTCAAAGCCTGTTTTTAATTCTGTTAATTGTGACCCGCGCTCCCCTGCCCTGTTCGGCCCTGCGGCGGCAGCCGGGGTGAGGCACTGCGGGGCAGAGCTGTGCAGAGGCCTCAGGGCTGCCAGCGCTGTGACCGGCCGGGGGCGCGGCGGGGCCGGGACGCGGAGCCTGAGGGCTGCCCCGCCAGCGGGGTGCCGCGGCTGCTCCTTGCGGGGCAGCTGCAGCTCAGCCCGGCTGTGAGCCGTGAGGGGATGGCTGGCTTAGCCTGTGTGGGGGCAGCCCGTCCGTCCTGCTGTGCCCTAGTCTGCCAGGCGGCGCGGGCCGCCCGCACCGCGACAGGGCGAGCGCCTTCCCGAGCACAGCCCCCGCATCGTCTGCTCCGGTTCCCCCGGGGTTTGACCCGAATTCGGAACAGAGCGGTCACGGCGGGGCCGGGGCTCGGGGCCAGGTGGCAGCGCCCGCCGCCCGGCGCGGCCCGGCCGGGACCTTCCACCGACCCTCCGGCCGGCCTGGGCGCGCCGGGCCGACCGCGCCACCTGGCGGCCACAGCCGGAACCGCGGGCGCGGATGGGATGGGATGGGATGGGATGGGATGGGATGGGATGGGATGGGATGGGATGGGATGGGATGGGATGGGATGGGAGGGGATGGGATGGGATGGGATGGGATGGGATGGGATGGGATGGGATGGGATGGGATGGGATGGGATGGGATGGGATGGGATGAGGGATGGGATGAGGGATGGGATGAGGGATGGGATGAGGGATGGGATGGGATGGGATGGGATGGGATGCGGGGTGGGATGCGGGGTGGGATGCGGGGTGGGATGGGATGGGATGCGGGGTGGGATGGGATGTGGGGTGAGATGGGATGTGGGGTGAGATGCGGGGTGGGATGGAATGTGGGGTGGGATGGAATGTGGGGTGAGATGTGGGATGGGATGGGATATGGGATGGGATATGGGGTGGGATGTGGGGTGGCATGCAGGGCACGCCTTTGGGAGAAAAACCGTGTGCAAGGCATCGCAACCTCAGAAGTTTCATTCTGTGTGTTACTTTGCTGTTTTTACAGTATTTTAACCATTAGCTTAAGATCCAGATTTCCAGTTGTACCGATCAGTGTTTTAAAAGTGTGGTAAATTTGTGTCCTATGAAATGTGTATAATTTGCCCCTGTTCTAGTACCCCCATTGAGTCCTCAGCTCTGCCCTTTGCTCCAGCCTGAAAAATGGCTGGTTGGCCTCGTTTCTGCTTCCGAGAGGGGGAAGGGTAAGAAAATGTGGTTCTGCTTGAGGCTGGGGCCACCTCTATAGACAGATCCACTGGGGTGTTTTCCCTGACTTGTTCTGCAAGTTTGAATCACTTTTTTAGATTTAATTTGTAATGGAAACGTGCATATTTTTTTTTTTGTTGTTGGGTGTGAAGCATAGTTTTAATTTGGCTCTTTCTATTTACTGAGGTTTTGTTGCCTTTGCACAGCAGCCCTAGAGCTCATGAAGAGGTTTCCTTATGCAAGGAACTAAAGCAAAGAAGCGTTCCAGTGTTGCTCTACTGCTGCTCAGGGATGTCCAATCTACAGGGTTAGTCCAAAGTAAAACCCCCTGAGACATCCTTTCTATGATAGTCAGATCCTCAGTGCCAAATACTCTGCTTTGTGCTCTGACTCCTATAGTCTGGCCCACAGAGCAGATGTAGGTATTACCTAAGGGCATTATAAAAGGTGCTGAGTTGTCTGTCCTGAAGGCAGAAATTAACCTTGTAGACAATACTGGAAATGGCAAGGAATGTTTTCCCTTGCTGCCGTGCTGTTTTTGAGTAGCCAGCTCACATAGTAGGGAGTATTCATGCTTCTGCATTCCTGAGTTTGGTGCTAGGAATACAAACTGCCATCCCCAGCTGGCTTCGGAGCTGGCTTTGTGCTGCAAATGCTTGTCCGCTGGGAACCAAAAGCCAGATGTGCTTCACATAGTTTCCAGGCAGCACTGATCCATCAGATGACAGTAGCTATTGAGCACTCTTATGGTGGCCCAGAGACACAAAGATGAAAGCCTGATGCCTGTCAACACCTCCCTTGCCATTCCTGTGTGTCTTCAGTTTTCACTTCAGTCCACCTCACAAAAGCAAATGCCACAGAATATGATGTTGCAATGTTAATAACCTTTTATTTTTGAGAAAGAAAATCCCAAGTTTTGTAATTTTGAGCTGCCAGACAAATTTGAGATACATTGAGCTTTGTCAAATATTTTCCTGCATCAGCCTGAGCTGAGAACCCACCTTCTTCTTTAGAAGCATTTTCTGCAGCATTTCCTGGATGATTTTTAGAATGGAAGATTAACAATATTTGAATGCCCTTTCAAGGAAATGTATTTACATGGAGGAAAAAAGCTCTGATGAACAGCCAAAAGGAAAAGCCTGTAGAGATACCTGGAATAATTTCTTAGAGTGGCTTATGTTGTTTCCCAGCTGCTCTGCCTTTAAACAGCCTCTTACCCCAACTCAGGAGCTCCACCAATTGTAAAAGCAAGAACTAACCAGTGCCAGATTCAAGTCTCAAAATACAAACCCTCTGAGATACAGGGAGTGAAGGGATGAGGGACAGGTTCATAAGAAAACTTCTAAGCATTACTGTAGCATAAATAATATGGCATCTTTCACCTCAAATAGCCTAACACTTCATAAAGTGATATGAGCTTCACTAGTTGCTGAAACACAGCTATTTCTGAAGTGGAACCTGATCTCTTTCACTTTTTTTCTTTCTTTTTTTTTTTTTTTTTTTTTTTTTTTTTTTTTTTTTTTTTCTTTTAAGCTAGCAGAAAGCAATATTTTAAGGTGGAGTGTGAAGGATACAACTGATCATAAATATAAATCTAGGAAAGCTTTGCAAAATGGAAAGATCAAGCAAAATCTACTTTTATTAATAACATGCATCCTGGTGTCCCATAAGCTTGTGTCCTGAATTTATAAATGCAGTTCGTCTGGAAGAGATGCAGGCAGCTCAAACAAGGTTTTGTCCCCTTTATTTCAGCAATACTCTCTTACAGGCCTTTGATGGCAGATGCTCTGGTTCTTTTCCTCTCTTCATTCAGTTTCATGTCCAAGTCCCGGAGCTGGCTGAGGAACCCTGAATTGGGGCAGATGTTTCTGTGAGCACTCACTGTCTTCAGAGCATCCACAAGTGTCATGTTTTCATGGATCATTAAAAAGGCGAGCACTAAAGTTGCTGAGCGGCTTACTCCCATGGCACAATGAACAAACACCTTACCTGCATGAACAAAAAGGCACAGCAAGGTGAGTGTGCTTTACCATTTCTAAAGTGGAAAAGACAAAGGGAGGAGAAAAAAAATAATAGAAACAAGTTAAGAAAGCAATGGTGACAATTAGTCGATCTTCATGCTTTCAGGAATATCATCTCTCAGGCAAGGTGGTATTTTATACTAACCTCCTGCGTCTAATTTAGGCCTAAGATTGAAATAGTTGAAATTTTCTGTGGAAGGAGAAGCTTTCTGTGACTAAACTTGTTAGTATAGTTTTCTGTGGAAAAAAAAAGTTTTGGCAGAAAAATTTGGCCCAGCCCTGCCTGTGATCACTGGCAAGTCCCACAAACTCTGTGGGATAGTCTGCCTGTAAAAATGGAGCTGTAATTTACTGTATCTCAGCAGCCCAGTGTGAGCTATAACTGAGGATTTAATAAAGCACTCCAGTGAAAGCAGCAGATCCTGCAGCCAGTCAGAGTCAGAGCAAACTCTGGAACAAATGGAAATTATGATAACTAGGCCATAATCCAAACTCTGCTGACAAAAATTCAGCAGGCTGCAGGTCAGGCTCGTAGTTTTTGACTTAGTTCATTAACTTCTGCTGCTTCTCTAGCTTAATAGACAGGCTGAATAAAGCTGCAATTCTGTAAAATACTTGAGCATGTGAAGCATTCGAGCCAGCACTGAAGTGCCGCTGCTCCCACAGGGAGCAGGAGCAGCATGCAGGGCAGGATCCCCAGCTGGAGCCCCTGTCAGTGTGCAAGGGGTGGGAGGGATGTGTGGAAGCACACAGATCCCACTGATCCCTACAGGATGGGCCCATGGGGCAGCACCTGCAGTGCCATAGCCTCTGCCCTTCCCTCTATACTCTGGTCCCAGAGCTTGCCCTTCTTTCCCCCATGCTGGGCTGGGGGCAGCCAGTCTTCCACAACTGCTGGGGACGTGGCACAGCCACCTTCCCTGCAGCACATGGCATAGGAACCCTTCTCCATCCTCTGCTCAGTGGTTCTGTATGTGCTGCCTTGAACCATATGCTGATTCTAAGCTCTGTTGGTGCCTGTTACTGCAATGAAAAGTCATTTGGCTTGTGTTGAAATTTCCTCTCAAAGCTTATCTTTGCTTCTCTCTTACCTCCTGAAGAGTTTAAGGCCTTGCCTATGAAATTGGCAGCATCATAGAAGAAGATACTTAAATCGAAGGAAGGATCATCAAATGCTTCTACTCCATAGTACTCTATTTGCAGATCTGCATAATATTTGGCTCCCGTGTTGATGCTATATGGTCCATCTGCTGCATTAAGGATATGAGTAATGTTGAGGCTTTGAAGTGTAGTTTTGCTCCTAGCAGCCCACCTGTTGAAAGACATGAAGGGCACATTGGCAACGCTCCTAACATTCTGCAAAAATAGCATGGTTTAAACTTAGTGCCTGCTCCCACTACGGAAGGATACAGGAACTGCATCTTACAGAGGAGCAAATTTCAAGAAGCACATAGTGCTTTGCACATGAAAAATGTGATATGGAGGTGTGGAGAGCAGCAGGAGCACAGACTTGCCAGTGGGATATTGTCAGTTAAGCAAATGCCTCCCAACAGACAATCCCTGGGAGCATGGCTTACTGTATGAAGTGGTCAAGATTTTCCTTAAATATTTGTTTAGGAAATTTTAGAGCTAATCTCTCATTGGTAGTGTACCTCTTCTCAAGAGTGAGAACTCACACAGATGCAGCGACACCTTGTTCCTGGTTAGGACATGAAGTAGATGCATTGTGTTCACCAGCTAGGTGACCCCCCACTTCCCACCATAAACTAGAACTATAGGCATTCTACAAAATTCTGAACCTTAACTGATATATTCATGATGAGGAGGAGCTGGGAAAAATTAGCTAATGATTTAGGTAGTCTGCAGTAATCCAATTGGAAAGAAATAGCAATAAATATTATTGGTCACAAGAATAAGGTAGTCACATGAAAATTCATGTTTGATATTTTCAGTTTGATCATCTTTGAAAGAAAGCTTGGATTTGGAATGTCAAGATCACTATTGTACAATTCATTTGAGTCTTCCTCCTTCGGGGTTTTAATCTTGCTACCTCTATTTGAATGTTGGGGCTACAGGCCTCTTTTCTACTGCCTGAGAGCACAGTTTCCAGGCC